AAACTAGCGCGATGGGCGCTGCGCCTACAGGAATACGATCTCATGATAAGCCAAGTGCCGAGGAAGCAGAACCAAACGGCAAATTTTTTGTCACGCATGACGAACGAAGATGGCCTGTCGAGTGTGGCTTTCGGTATGAGTGGTATACTGTTGACGCAGGATGTGGGAGAGTTGACGGCCGAACAAGAAAGTGACAAACTCTTGCGCAAAGTGATCAATGCACGAAGAACCGGTCAATCAGTCCCAAACATGAGCCAACGCAAGCAGCTCGGACCGTCTGCAAGAAATCTAGAAAAGCTATGAGTAAATGAAGCGGGAATCCTGATGTGGATAGCAGGAGGTAGCAACATTTCAGTGTTGACCATTCCGATGAAACTAAGGTGGAAGCTGATGATTTCTTGTCACGATATAGCGCACACCCTGGTTGCGCCAGGACCTATGATCTGTTGAGACAACGCGGTAAAAAGGTAGAAACAGAAAGGAAGAGGCTATGGAACTTGCAACGCACGAACTAGGAAAGAAAAGAAAAAGGAAAGTGTGTAATGGTGACTGAAAACTGGGGTGAAGGGGATCGCCTACCCCGTGCGGTCGATCAGGTGATCGATCGAGCGGACGAACGAGTTTTTAAACATCCAGCTAATTGTACTTTGCCTCAGAGTTGAGAGTGCAGCGTTTTGGCGGCATTTTGTTAACACGTTTTTCATGGTCAAGCTCGTTTGAATTTTGATTTTTCTTCGGTTGGGCAAGAATTTTTGCGGAGAAATTTTTGGATGTTTAATTCGGAATAGTGAGAAAAAGTGAAGATCTAACAGCCAGGACCTACGATCTGCTGAGATAACGCGCCTATTGGCCGGGCGTGAAGGATGTCGAGACATACGTGCTTTGGTGCAAGAAATATCAGCTCTTGAAAAGCGACTGCTAAGGAGCACAACAACCAGTGATGCCGATTCCGGTATCGTCAATTGGTGAACTATGGTCGATCGACGCGATGGGACCGATTCCATTGACAAGGTGGGGTAACCAATACATCCTGTTGATGACGGAGCATTTTACGCGCTAGACTGAAGCAACGGGAATCCCGGATCAACGGGCGAGCACCATTACCCACATCGTCATGAAACATTTGATAGCGGGTCACGGAATCCCGAAGGTAATATTAACAGACCAGGGTCTGTACTTCGAGTGAGAAAGTTCGGGATTGCTTGGAGAAACGTGGTATTGTGAAGGCGCGGACAATCCCATACTACCCGCAAACAAATGAATCGACAGAGCGTAACAATAAACCGATTAGGGATTGGCTAGCTGCAAAAGATTGAGAATGGAAGGAAACTTTGCCACTGCTGTTGTTGACTCACGGAGTATCCGAACAGGTCTCCACAAAGAAATTACCATTCCAATCGATGTACGGTGGACCACCTCGACTGCCTGTGAATCTAGCGGTTGAAAGGTGGCTAATTTGCCAAATATCGCACAAACAAGAACAGGATAACAGGAAGGCAGCCAACCGTAACCTGAATGCAATTGGGGCGCGGGGGAGAGGGGTCCCAGACCAACAGTGGTGAAGCGAGTGGTGAGTTTCCGATCGGTTCGAAGGTGAAATGCAGGGGCCATCAACGCGTCCCAGGGGAAGGGGCCGTATGAGGTGGTCAACCGACGAGCCCCAGTGTATATAATCGCTCAGCAAGGAGATTCACGGCCAGTATTTGCCAGTGAGCTGACGAAGTAACACGAGTTAGAAAAAAAACCGCTTTCGCACAGTTAGTATCCCTGACGGTCAGAAAGACTCCGAGCGAGCACTGTGGAGGGGAGGGGTAGACTAGGGGCAGACACTACTGCGCCAGTTATCAGTAGTACATAAGTGCCAGGAAACCAAACGGCAATGAGCCAACAGCAAGGCATAATAACTCCCCGAAAGAAAGGAAACATTTCGAAACTACAGATTATGAGCACCAGGAATGGACACATGGGCTATGCACGCCACAAAACCACTAGACACAGAAGCAACGCACGCCATGCAACCTCCAAAAGGGAGTGCGTGGATGAGTGGAAGTTTCGTTGGTCATAACCGATGCATCTACTTCATGCTGTTTGACACAGTAAATAACTCCACCGCACCTAGTTTCTTATATTACCACAAAAACGGATGGTCACAAACACTACTCTACTCTTGTGTGAAACATTACTACCTACGAGTACTAACTCTTTCATACATCGCTTCAGGGTAATCCATGTCTGCTGAACGATTTCTTCCAAACATCAGTGAGGCAAAATGTAGTATAATCTTTACTTGTCTGCCGGTCGCCGAAGGAACTAGATGTCCGCTTTGCAATCCAACGATTAACGGTTTGAATCTGAATAGGTACGGGCGACCACGTAGTACCCCTAACCCGAGCGCGACTCGCGAAGGTCGTGTAGCAGCGAAGCATTGATAGCGTGTGGCGGATACTACTGACGCCCTTCTACTCGCAGACCGTTACGTGATGGTGCAAGATCAGTGTGCATGTTTGTACTCTGACGTAAGTGATGAGGGACAGGAATTGGGAGGTCGAAAAGAGGAAAAGAATACTGAAGTTGGAATGAGAAGATGAAGTCCAGAGTAAGATAAAAATAATAAATCGCCAGCTGTACTCCGTAATGGCACTTCGATGCCACGCGAACACTACCAGTCGCACCTGGGCTGAGTATACCGCAAGGACGCCCGCCTCTACGCGGATTCGAACCGGTGACCTTATGGTTGCAAGCCAGGCGTGCTGACCACTCGGCCACTAGCCGACGAAGTCGAGAGCAGTAACATCCTTATGCACATCCGTCTGAGTTAATGCAGTAGACAGGGCACCGTTGATAATGCTCCGGTAAAGTCCAGGCCTAGACGGGAGACCAATCAGGATTCTCAGTCAAAGCCTTTGGTTCAAAAACCTGACCACAAGACAGTGGGAGTTTGGCAATCGGAGATACGCAATCCGTTCCGAAGAATAAACACCCAAGCTCACACCAACCCACAACCAGGAGGATTAACTGAATGGGTTTAATTGGTTTCTGACCAATGACCAACCTGATTTGAATGGCTAGGGAAGCGCAAAAGTACCCTTCTGCGCAGTTCAATAAGTGACTGATCAATGTGCGTCACTAGAAGAACAGAAAATATCGCAGCACACCAATGTTCGGCCTCACTACTATGTGCATCGGGTTAGGGATTCTGATGTCAACTATGTTTAGTGGGCAAAACAGGTAGCGATAAATCAGTGGAGTGGGATGCAAAACAAATGCATCGGTGGTTGAATATCGTACAAGAGACTGAGCTGATGGATGCCATTGTCATAAATACCGAGAGCAATAAATCAAAGGAAGTGGATAGCAGGAACAAGTAAGCGAGAGGAAAGGTCCAACTGCGTTGGAAAGCAGAACTGAGGAATGGACAACATTCATCTAAACAGGACTTCAGGTTCAAGTTCAAATGAAGCTGGAGCTGTTGTAAATTCTAATAGGCAATCTTTCGTGTGTCATTATTCGACGATAATACTTGTAGTGCAGAATAGTAAATAAATACATACGAACCTTATGATGGCATGCCGATTAATGCATAGGTGACCTATGTTAGCAGTACCCGCACTGCTGGTCATGTAAAGTATGAAACGAAATACGAACGCAACAAAAAGGTGGCAGTAACCAGAGAGAAACAAAAGTACAACAATGCAAATAAGTAGGAATATAGTCCGGGTTTGGAAAAGGAAGATTAGGAACTGCAATCCAAGGCAGTTGAGTTGGTGTTCAAATCCTTTTACCGTTTGTGATGATGTTAAGCCCTCGAACAAGGCAATTATTGAATATACTAGACTTAGCAACAGGAGAATATTGGTGCAAATTCAATAATACCGGGGCTTGTGCAACTTAATCGAATGACCGAGTAGAAAGGATAACCGATTTCGATGGGATACATCAAAGTTGACCTTTTCCGTCAATATGCGAAACGCTAGAACGAAGTCAATATGATGTCGTTGATAGTGAAGAGAAAGCGTTAAGAGCTTAAGTAACCTTTGAATTATCATGTTGCCAGACCCCAGAACCCGCTTTACTGGCATCCCATCCAGAATCAGGCATAGTTAACGAGCTTGGACGCGATATGCAAGGCAGGTCCTGATGCAGGCTGGGAAAAACCTGGCAAACAGTTACATGGTGATGATTCCAAAGGAGCTGGGAATAACCCACAATATCCCAGACCATTGCACGCGGCTTCCTTTCGGTTTTCACTGGACTTAAGCCGGATAACAAAACAAAATTAGCTCAATCAGCTGGGGAACAAGAGATAGTTCTTCCCCAACAAGCAGACGACACATAGAAGGGTTACTCGACACCATGCGTAAAACTGAACCCATAACATAGACTGTGGGTATAAACCACAAAGCAGATAAGTCACGAACTGAATACTGGAAACATACATCTGTGGTGCTCCATCGATAAATTATGGGCATGCTCACGGAATACGGTCATTTATTACCGCGCAAGGTCAACGCAGTTCGGCCGTACTCCATAATATTTAGGTGCCATGTGCTCCCAAAAGCTGTAATCCGCAAATGGGTGACCGGGAAATTCTAGAATTTTGACAATGATTACGCCTTGAGTATTGTCTTGGGCCAACTCTTCCAATAGTTCAAAATTAGACTCTAGAACCATATGGGGTGAGTTAAGCGCTTTAGGTCCGGTACCACAAGCTTGTACCGGTGCCCGCAAATTCTACTTGGTGTACGCACATGCAGCAGTGGCATCCGCGTAGGAAAATCATCCAGATTTAGTATTCAGTGCACCACTCGAAGAAGGGGACACATTAGTTCATCGGGTTGTAGAGACCAGGAAAAAATCCTTAGTTAGCTCCGTCACTTCCCATTCGGCGCACGGATAAAGCGAGTCGCAATGAGACAGTTTTCCACAGAAGACCAGAACGACCACAGCGAAGGTAGCGGGATCCTTGCTTACTAATCAAACAAAAGTATAGCAATTTGTTAAAACATTCCTCATTTTGTGCACTGATGACTCAGGCTGCCCCAGTTACTTACTACACGAACGGACACGGAGCGTCCTCGGTTTAAACAGTTTCCATTGGTGACCCCGTGATGAACTATCAGTGCAGAGATGGAAGAACTGCAGTTGGTTGTACATCACTTCTCGTAAAATGCACCACGATGACGGCGATAATCCATGGAAAACAGGTTTATCTGTCGAATTAGATGGGAGTAAAGATTTCGAGATGGACTTAGATGCACGCCGTTGAAGTTTCTTACTCAAGATACACTGGACCTTTGTAAGAGGGTGGGCCGTTGGCAGCCCCTGTTTAAGGATTGGGCATGCATGAGATGTAAATAGTAGTCTGAAGATTTTCGGCGTCAAGTGGGAAAACGATCTCCTCATATCATAGAACATTCCAATGGCAGCCGCAACCTTTCTTAAGGTGTCCCGGATTGTGCTTAGTTCTGGGAGAGATGTACGCTGAGGTGTACTTCAACAAAGACCTGTAAAGTTTAGGGGACATCTCTGAAGGTCACTCGGAATCAGAATTCAACACGTACAAATATGAAAAACAATGCACCCAAAACTTCGGGTAGCTCATTTATGTAAACGTGAAACCCAAAGAATGCCAAAGAAAGGGCTGTCGGAATGATAGGTTGACTAAACCCAAACAAGACCTCTCCGTTGTCTAGAAAGCACGCCCGGACATGCCGCAGAACTGAAGCTTCAAGGAATGTGGGAAGTTCAAGTTCAAATGGGACCGGGACAGTAGGAGAAGCCCGTGAATGTCGCTGATCGCATAGAGAAATCGTGGAGCGATCTGCAAGGATGAGCCAAATCAACACGCACGACTCACTCCACGGTCAATCAAACAATGCTCACATGTCATGCACCAGCAGTCTTCGCTGTGCCGGCGACGTGAAGAGAAGCAAAATTGGAAGAACAAAAGGGAGGAATGCTTTGAAAAGTTTTTAAAATGCACGATCATTACAAAACCGCGAGCTTGCCTATGAATAATATCACACCCGCGCAAGTCGGATTTCGAGGACGACACAGGTGCACTACCGATGGACTTACAGCTCGAATTGCTTGTAGGATGCGTCAGGTGGAGGGTTCGGAGGGCTACTGTGTCCAGGGCGTACGTGGGTGGTGATATACCGAAGGGGCTGAAAGGCAAGAGGTATTTCGTAGGCAGCTAGATAGCTATATCACAACTACCTTATTTCGGATTGGAAATCGCCACGGTTAGTTTCCTGGCTCACGCGCTTCGAACTAGCTCTGAAAGCCCAAAGTAAAAGATCGAACTTTCAAGCAGGACATTTAATGCAGGAAGACAGACGGACGACTGACAACCGCCCAGTTGGAAGAACTACTGGTTGGAGAGTTCGAAGGCGCACCGACTGAAAAGGAAAGAGAACGATCGACAGGGTGGTGCCCCAATGCGAATAAATGAACAGGAGGCGAAAAGGAACCAGTTCTGGAGATCAACGAAAACGGCACCAAGAAAAAAGAAATGTGCAGTTTTACTCCCCATAAAATAGATATCGATAAGCGAGTGACTAAGAAAAGTCAACCAGCACACACCCAGTAAGAATCGGAGCTGGATGGAAGATGAGCCTAATTAACACCTCGTGGGGGGCTGGATGCCGCTGTCACAGCTGTCAATGGAGGACCGCGAGTGAGAAGAATGGGTGGATGGCATGTGTAGTGAACCAGAAAATATACTCTATCGCTTTTTCCCAACACTGGAGTCGGTTCTTGTTTGTACCTTAGCAATGTCCAATTGTTTAACTGCGTGTACATCCGCCTACATCATCATCACTATACACGTTAGCTAGAGGTGCGAAACACCTCAGCTACAGCGCTGCAGTACCTAAAAGAAAAAGGGAATAAAATTCAACAGGTGCAAGCCAGCTGAACTACCGGTAAAGATGGGCATCGTTCCGATAAGCTACCTGCCGGCTACTATGCAGCAGAAAAATTAATTTACTATGCAAAATTATATAAGGCTAAATAATGAGATCGTGGTTGGAGGGGAGGCTAAGAGGGATGGGGTGGAACAAAGAAACTCACAGCACGGCTCCTAGCCATATCAACAGGTGTATCCAGCCAAACGTGTTCATCGTCTTTCGGACCCCAACCAGGGAGCCGATACGCTCCAACTGAGGCCAGCTTCCAAGTGAGGGCCTTCATTCCTCTCGAACAAGTTATCACTTGGCCACCTCTCCTCTTCTTCCATCCACACTCCCGGCGCGCAAACAACACACGTCGCGGCAGTCGGTGGGCTGGCATGCATAACACGTGGCCGAGCCATCGGAGCTTGGTGTGTGAAATAACAGTGCTGAGTGGTTCATTTCCATTTCCTGTACCGTAAACAAAGCGTCGAACACGCTCGTTGCTTACTCGGTGTTCCCACCAGGTGTGAGCTAAATTGCGAAGGCACCGGTGGTCGAACGTAACTAGCCTCTTTACGTCTGCTGATCGAAGGGGCCAGGTCTCACATCCGTACAGTAGGGTTGAACGTACCGCTGCATTGTACACTCTACCCTTCAGGGCGAGAGTGACGTCGCGCCGGCGCCATAAGTGGCGAATGTTAGCAAAAGCGCCTCGAGCTTTTGCTATACGGTTCGTCATCTCATCCTCAACCCCACTGGCGCTGATACAACTTCCCTGGTAGTTGAATTTTTGAACGACTTCTAGCTGATACCCAACAAGGGTCAGCGAACGAGGTGGTCCAGGCCAATATTGGAGGAACGCTTTGCACTTCGAGGGTGCAAAACAAAGCCCGAAGTGACGGACAGCCAGTGCTAATCAGTCCGGTGCCGCTTGGCATGTTTGTGAGCTGTCACAGATTAGGGCAATATCGTCAGCATACTCCAATTCAAGAAGTCGTTCTCCTGGGAGCAGATCCACACCTTCTAAGTCGTGTCCTGTACACGCGATTTCCATGACTTCATCAATAGCGGTTAAAGAGGAAAGGTGAGAGCGGGCATCCTTGTTTCACACCGCTGGAGATATTAAAGGGCGACGACAGCTTGCCGTAAGCCCTCACTCAGCCTGAGCTACACGCGTATAATGATCGGATAATATTTACATATTTCTCAAACACACCTTTCCTGAGTAGACAGTCCCAAAGTGCATGTCTATCCACCGAATCGAATGCATCTTTGATGTCAAGGAACATGACAACGGTGAGCCGCCAATATATGTGACGGTGCTCCAACAACTGACGCAAAGTGAAGATGTGGTCAATGTAGCCACGACCTCGAAGAAACCCGGTTTGCACTTCACGAATCTGGGTTTCACGAGTGCCAGCCAGTCTGTCAAGAATGACAGAGGCAAGCAACTTGGAGGCGACGGAAATCAGACTGATTCCTTTATGGCTGCCGCATTTCGATCGTGAGCCTCCCTTGAAAATTGGGACTATTACGGAGCGGCTACAGTAGGTTGGGACAGTTTCCTGCTCCCACAGTTCCACTAGTAACTCGTAGAAATCATCCACAAGAGCAGCTCCTCCGAATTTGAAGTGGGTTGGAGGAGGATCATCTGGTCTCGCGGCTTTATTTAACTTCAACAGTACGATCTCACGTTCGACTTCTGAGCGAGATGGTAAATCCAAAGAGAGCCCAGGGAGTGAGGCGATCAGTAGCCGGCGAGAAATCTAAAAATTCCGACCGATTGAATTGCCTTTCAAAGTGCTCAGCCCAACGTTCCAAGCGTTTCGACAAGTTGTGGATAGGTTTCCACTCTCGTCACGTCTAGTTTCACTAACACCATGCCTTCTGCACCCCGTTTCCCGTATTATCCGGAATAACCAAGGGCAGCGGCCATTTTCATCTCTGATGCACGATGAGACCACCAGGATTCGCGGTCTCTCTTCAGGCTAGTACGGAGTTTTGCCCGGAGCTCTTTGTGAGTTTTATTGTGTTCGCTTCCAGCCGGAATATGCCGGCGAGCATCGATAAGTTCCAGAGATTGCGAAGAGACCCAATGTCCATGTTAGCAATTAGAGTTACCACATGAGGACTTTCTTGCTGCTAGTAAGGTCTGGTGAATATGAGACCAGTGAGCTTCAATTGCGTGCAGTGAGCGCTTATTCAACTCGCATGACAGTGTACTTTGATAGACATTCAGAACGGCTGGCTTCGCCAGTTGGCTGGTGTCAATGCGGTCACAACATCGTCTTGGGCGTCCGCCATTGCGCATCCGCAGGTCAGCAGATACAAGTGCATGGTCAGTGTCTACACATGTGCTCCAAATCGAGCGACAGTTCTGGACACAGTCTCTCCATCGATAACTTATCGCAATGTGATCGATTTGCGTCCACAACCAGTTCGAGGCTGGTGGGCGCCAAGTCACCCTCCGGAGGGTGGTGTGTCGGGAATTACTGCTCGCAAGCAATAAGCGAGCATTCTCACACAAATGAAGTAACCGCTCACCGTTATCATTACGGGAGCTTACACCATGTTGGCTGCCCAGATGCAGTTCATCAGTGGATACTTTTCCAACTTGAGTGTTCAGATCCCCAGCCAGCACAACAGTGTCCGAGCTTCTACTGTGTCGAAGGAGCACGTTCAATTGACGATAGAATGCGTCTTTTATCGAAACATGGCTAGAGTTGGTGGGTGCATAGGCAGCGATAACGAATAGACACCTGTTAGTGCCGCGTGACTTCGAAGCTTTGAACGAGCTAGCCAATCGGATCGCACACAACCGGCTACTGATTGGAATCCAGTCAACCAGAGCAGCTTCAACCTGGGGACTCAGGGTAATACCAACACTGGCTTAACCGATGCTCGAAGCTGTATCGTCACCGGATGGGCGCAATGCGAACGTGCTGCTGGATCGCAAAGTGGGCACTGAACTTGAGTCTTGTGGGCGGGTTTCCGATAAGCAGCAGACATCGATCGAGAGGGTCTATAAAGTTCGGGCAAGTGCTGCCTGTTGACCGATCTGTAACAATGTGCGTACATTGAGGCATGCCAATCTGAATGAGGATCGATGGCTTTAAATCGAAGCCGATGAACTGGACTTTGCCACTTGCTTGGACGTGGGCTTGTCGACAGGGCAGCAATGACGCTCCGCGTTCACATGCAAGTTGAAACTAAAAGCCCATCAATGCAAGGTTGGGGGGGCAATAATAGGAGAATTTAAAACGTGGGCAATAAAAGTAAAGTTAGAGCGGGACGAAGAGGTTGAAGAAGCGTAGAAGGGGAAATCATCATCATATTTACACGTTAGACAGAGGTGAGGAACACCTCAGCTACTATGCCGCAATACATAGAAAAAAGGAGAGAAAAAAGCAACTGGTGCAAGCCGGCAGAGCTACCGGTAACGGATGGGCATCGTTCCGGTAAGCTACCAACCGGCTACTGTGCGTCAAAAAAATTACTATACAAAATGATATAAGGCTAAATAATGAGATCGTGATTGGAGGGAAAGGCTAAGAGGGATGGGGTGGGACAAAGAAACTCACAGCAGGAACGCCACTGAGGTCGGCTCCTTGCCATGTCAGCAAGTGTCCAATGAATCTCACTTCAAACAATACTAAGAGGGGGAATAAGAAGACGGGAAGGCTTGAGTAGTAGCATCCAAACCCCTATCCACCCTGCTCGATGCAGCAGATAGGACGCCATTTATTACCCTCTGCGACGGCCAGAGCATCAAGGCGTTGTGAGGAGAAAGGTTCAGTGTATCGCGTGGGCAGAATACGGTCAGATTGTCCAGGCCTAGACAGGAGAACGACTAGGGTTCCCAACCAAAGCCTTTGGTTTAAAAACTTCACCGCAATGCAGGAGGGGTTTGGCACGTGACTACAGACAGCCCGTTTTATGGAGTAAGGAGCCACCCTCACTCCAACCCCCAACCTAGAGAGCCAGGAGACTGAGTTTGTCAGCCCTCTAACCATTGAGCAATCTGGTATGAATGACTCTGAAGGTGCAAAAGCACCACTCAGCATAGCTCAATGGATCTCTGAAGCACGCAAACCATCGCACCACGATAAGGTCCAATCTCATTGCTCTTGTGAGTTCTGCGCTGCACGTTATTCGCCCTTGCTGATTCGGCCCAATTCCATGTAGCATGTAATATACGTTGGGTCAAATTGCTTCTATCTTATCTGCGACTCAGTGTTTGGCACATCTCCCACATGCCATCGTTATCTACTAGTATCCGAGGTGTACCCAACTATTAGTGACCACAGCTCGGAACACGCCACCTGCCGTTTTGTATTTTCAACTTGGTGAGCTCGATCCATTTATTTTGTAACCCACTATTTGTAAGCATTTTGTTTTCTCACCTACTGCACATACTTATACACAATTTGCAATGAGTAATCCAGAGGAAAAGCCATTCCCTTACATGTCGAAACGTTAAACTCTCCACCTTTTTAGAAGAACGATATTTTGTTATGGTCTATGCAGCTAGAATCGTCTTTTTACACTCGTGGGGTTTCTTCTGATTGCGCTGCAATCAGCTAATATCTCGGCTCCCTCAAGGTATATTCCCACAGATGAGAGATACAATGTCTGACCCACCACTTGTAAGGAAATAGGAGACAAACAAACCATCATGCAGTGAACCATGCCTACTGACAATGTCCGTCCGCAGCAAATAATTAGGAAGCTGAAACTAGAAGAAAAGATGAGCTCAGACTTGTTGTGTGAATTGCAACAGCTGCTTGGCGTGTCCAACAGTGACGTACGGATACAACGCGAAAGGTGGATGCAACGCCTCCTTGAAAGCTTTAGAGGGTCACCTGTACCGGGAGCCCATAGAGCGATTCGAGAAGACAGATAGAGTTGCAGGGAAACTTTTAGTGGTACAGTAAAAGATTCCCTGTTATCTAGCTATAAAAGGACGACACCGTGGACGCTCTAGCTAGGGGAACGGAGCAAGCACAGCACACAGGGCAGTTGCGAGTTGCAACCGAAACAAGCGCCAAGCAAACATGGCGGTGAGCAAGTCAAGCATTCGAACTCAGCAATAAGTTCAACAAACCACACCGGTTGCCTAGGTGTACAATTAAAGAATTTTAGTTAGAATTTTACACAGGCAAACCGGGGAATCTCCAGACTGCTACAAGCTCTCAGGCCATCAATGCAGCAGCAGCAAATGACCTGCCACGCACACCAATTGCAAATTGAGCCGACCGCGTCATCGAACGATACCAGAGTGACAGAACCCAGAGCACTTACCCAGCTTAGCACAGGCGCAACATCAGCGACACCCGAGACACCTTATCATCCCAAGTAGCGTCACCACAGCGCTAGATGACGATTTGCAGTAAGATCGATCTGGTTGGAGCACATCACCAGATAACAATAGAGGAAAAAGACATCATTAAAACAGCCGTCATCACTCCACTCAGCCTGTTCGAATTTTTAAGGATGCCTTAAGGACAGTGCAACGCCGCATTGGAATGCTATTCCAACGCTCCATCCACGATATCACACGTGGTATAGGCTTCGCCTATTCTTACTTTGATGATATTTTAGTAGCCAGTTCGTCGAAAGAAGAGTATTTCTACAATCTCTGTTCTCTCTTACAGCGCATGACACAACAGCGTAAAAGTTGACCCGAATCCGTGTGGACTCGGTAAGCCAACTGCAGAATAGTTAAGTTATCTCGTCTCATTGTTCGGTATCGAACTTTTACCTGAGAAGATCCAGGAATTTAAAGACTTCCCAGCTCCGATACATCGATTTTGTGGTCCAGTTAGATACTAACGAAGTTTCATTCCTCACTGTGCTCAGCTCATACAACCTTTGACTGACCTCAGTGAGAATGAACGTAAGCTCGCTTTCCCTGACACAGCACACAGCCATTGCCGAGCTCAAGAATGCTATCTGCAACGCAGCTCCTTGTTGTCACCTATGAATCGCGAACGTGCCGACCTCAAAGCCCAAACCTTCGAACCAGAACAGAAATTTAAAGCCGACAACAAGGAACATACTTGCGAAAAGGTATATAGGAGACAATACCATAAGTTCATAACGGAGCGTCCTATCCGCCAACTGGAAATAATGTTCATTCAGCAGTGTGATTCCGGTACACACCGCTGTAGGTGGTAGGAGATAAATTTGAGGCCATTGAACCCATAGTAAGATTTATTAATAATGTAGGATGCTTGTTAAAATACATACTGCGGACTTCCTTAGACCATGTTCTATATCCCGTTTTCTTTTTAACAACTCACCGTTATATATCAACTTTTCCATTTTTTTTTAACTTTGCAAATTGGGAATGGTACATACCAGCTTTTGGATGTTTGGAGGTGCTGACCTCTTTACACACACGTTGCGCAGGAAGTTTATCCAATAAAACCCTTACTTTTTGAGATCGCAGAAACCGGTTGTCCTAATGAACAACAGCCCGCATTCAAGATCGCGCCAGTGGCGGATAGGACGGTCCTGGTTTATAAGGTCCTCCTACACAATGACCTTGAAACTGTAAATGTGTAGAACTCATTGGTTGAAGCAAGGTCACAACCATGAGACATGCGAATCGTCTTCTAGCTGGAATGCAGGACGCTCTATCCGATCAATTTCGTTAGTCTGCGTCCCCCAACACCTCTCCCTTTTGAATGAATAGCATAAGATTTCAGCTTCGGGTTCAACAGTATCGGCGTCGACCCGTCCAACTTCTTGGTGCTAACCGATAAAGGTGTAGGAAGTGAAATCCCTTGTTCGGGTTTGGAGTCTTCTGGGTTGATACAGAATGTGTCAAGTAGCAAGTCCAACGGCAACATACTGCGTGTTGGTGATGCATCCGGAAAGGAACACGATTGTAATTGATTGGCGTGTCGGACCCAAAACTCGGAATTAACAGCAACGTCATACGTGACACCTCCAGTTCGGCGAATTATACGTCCTGGGGACCAGGTAGCCTAGTTGTTGCGGTAGTCCTTTGCCAGCACAGGTTGCCCTTTGAAAAAAACTCGGTGCTGAGCACCGTGTCTTCGGTTGAACTGCTGTTCCATTTTGCAGTTTCGGTTCAGACTGTTCCTGTCAAATGGTTTAAGCGAATCAAGGCTGGGTCGCAGGTTCCGTTGCATCAGCGCTTCAGCCGGAGATTTAGCTTGAGGCACCTGTGGATTTGGAGTTATCCTGCAGGCAAATAAAGTCTCAATGACCTTGGTCGTCGGTCCCCCCTCCTTCGCCTTCAGCAATGCTCTCTTGAAGGTGTCCACGAATCGCTCTGCTAAGCCGTTTGATTGTGGATGGTATGGAGGTGAGCTCATGTGAGTTATGCCGTTTTGTTATAAAAGTCCTCAAAAATCTCTGAAGTGAACTGAGCTCCGTTGTCAGTCACTAACGTGTCCGGATACCCGAAGCGTCTGAAAACCTAAGGAAGTGCAGTATTGGTCGCTGAAGCAGCAGTCCATTGCACGTGCAGTACCTCTGGCCACTTAACATAAACGTCAACCAGGATAAGGAAATTGTTTGCATTAATAGGTCCAGCATAATCGGCATGGAGCCTCGACCATGGTTTCCAAGGCTCAGGCTAATAATAAAGCTCTGCTTTCCTTGGCGACTTCCAAGCAATGATGCATTTGGAGCAAGAGCGGGCAAGTTCTTCAACATGAGCATCCAGAGGATGCCACTACACGTGGCTCCTGGCCAATGCCTTTATCCGGCTTATTCCTGGGGTATCCGGGGTGGAACTGCTTCAGAACTCTGGGCTGAAGTTCCTTGGGAACCACCACTCTTTCGGCAATGAGTAGACAGCCGTCGACAATCGACAGGGAATTGCGATGTTGGTGAAACTGCTTCAGTTCACTGTCTTCAACCCACTTTGGCCATTTTCAACTGTGGAAGCGGAGCACTTGCTGGAGCAGGGGATCTTGTGAAGTTGCGACAAGTATCTGAGAGGCTGTTAATGCGATGGCTTTAATTGCATCTGCAACAACGCAAAGTACTTCAGGCTGATCAAATGCTTGCCGCTCCAAAGTCCTCCGGTTCTTGTCGATTTTTGTCCATGAGGTGTGATGAAGCATTGGCCAGACCAATGTTCCCAGTCGATTGGTACTTGATTTCGAAATCTTACCCCATAAGTATTGTGGCCCACCTCTGAATGCGATTTGCTGAGTACACAGGAACGCCCTTCTTGGACCCGAAGGTAGCAAGTAGGGCTTGTGATCAGTATGCAGAGTAAGAGGAAGACCATAAAGCATTTTGTGATATTTTTAATGGCGTAGATGATCGCCAATGCCTAACGTTCCGTGGGCGCCAACGATCGGGCGGCATGAGCAATTGCCTTCTCAGTTCCGTCAGGAAAGCGGTGAGACACGACTGCGCCAATTCCGTAATTAGACGCATCTGTAGCAACTACAATATCCAAGTTGGGGTCGTAATGAGTCAACAGCAGGTCTGATGATACCATGGTTTTGATCCTGTTAAAAGCTTGACTACCTTCCGTGCTCCAACACCACTTGGAATCTTTGAGAAGTAGTGCGTTCACTGGCTCCCGTAAATCATGCATTGCTGGCAAAAATGCACTGTAGTGATTCACCAATCCCATGAATGAGCGTAGCGTAGTCATATCGTGTGGTGGAGTCATTTTCTGTATGGCCTCAACAGTAGCGGGGTCTGGTCGTCAAACGTGTTGAGCAATGATGAATCCTAAGTATTTTACCGAATCCATGTAGAAGACACTTATCTTCTCGTAGGCGAAAGCCATAATCTTGGGTTCGGTCAAGCACATTTTCAATCACGTTCTCTAGAGCCGCCGGATCAGTGTCCATGCTATCGTCAAGCTGGTGGTCCAGCTAGCCAGCGTGACGGGGGCTTCTCAGTCGTTGGTTGGCTTTCGTACCAGTGAAATAGCATATGGAAATGCGAATGTTTTACTAGCAAAAGCAGTTAAAGAAGCGGAGCTGGTTTTATGTTGCCTGTCTACTGGTGTTGCCAATAATGATAGGCACATGTATACCAGAAAAAGCTAAGTATATGGGGCCAAGCGAGGACAAGCGGAGAGCAAAATGTCTGACCATTGAGCCTATAACTTTTAACGTTCTCTATTTGTCGACAAGATAATATATATTGCTGTATTCATTCCGATAGTAATTGGAAACGGCGGAGTAACTTAACTAGGGCTCAGGCTTAATAAAAATGCATCAATTAAGGCCGGCTAGGAACCGAGGTCTACGAAAGTACATAAAGGTATTTAGACGATTTTGGACAAGTTTAATGCTTACCTCGGTGGTTTCGGCAGCAAAAATAGCTTTCAACATCTTATGCAAGGCTTAGGTCCTATAGGATGCCTTTACTAGGTGTACCTCAAAGGTCATAAGCCTAATATTTTTTCCACCCACACAGTGGTCTTTGAATTTGGAAAAAGATAAAAGGTAAAGCTGAAGACGAGGAATGTAGGTGTAGATAAGATGTAAAGATTGAAGTTTGCCGGCTCGGATGGCTTCGTCATTGCACTGCAATATCCTATATGAGGAATACATACGGGTTTGCAAACCGGCCAGGCAATAGGCTAGGCTGTACTCTATGTTGCAATTTATAAACACTAAGGAAGTGACCACTGAGAAAGAGAAGCCGAATGGTTATGAATACCAATTGGTCCATGCAGCATACACCAGACTCTAGTGAAACGGCACAGCGTATCACCAGTTCCATGCATAAACGTATGGACAATCTTCTATTGTCGCTGTTACAATTGCCCTAAAATGTCTGTACAGTTGCACCTACCTGATCATGCCTCCATGGGCTTGCCTCGCATAGCTGAGAATATATATAGTTCTGTAGGGTATCCGTGGGAACCTTGGAACGGGACGCGATGGAAAAGAGCAAGACAAAAAGAAATGCGGAGGAAACTGCGCACGAGGCAATGAAAGGGGAACAACCGAACGCTGAGATTTGTAACGCTACGCATACATTAAGTTTGTCGTCATGCATGTTGCATAAAAGTTATGCATGTGAATGAAGGACGTGAAAACGCGGAGGCGCGAGGTGGGGTTGTTGGCTCGTTTAATGTGAAGAGACCATCCGGGAAGATAAGGTCGGTAAATAATTCAGTAAGTAGTAATCGAGCTTCAGAAGCAACATGGCTAGTGCCCTGCGTCGTGCGGTGTAGGCAAGTCGTTCTGGTGGACAGGAATAAGGGAGATATTGTCATTTGCGACGTGTGCAGCCAGTAGTTGAGCTAGACGCCTCATTACAGCAGTGGCACAGGTTACCATGTAAAAGCACGTAAGTTTAAGTCAGTACATACGTGGCTACGGCGCTGCGTTGCGAGAAGTTATTAATTCTAAAAGTGTTTCGGGTTGAAGTTAACAATAGCATGCTGAGTGATAAAAAGCCAGTAACGAGCTGAGCGCCATTCGCGACCAAGATCATAAGTCCTTTGAAAGAAATAAATGGAAAGTAAGCGACAGAAGCTATAACGCTGGCTTAATGCGTCTCGCGTTGAAGGTAACTCTTTCTGGTGTACCAGCAGAAGAGAGTTTATGTCAAGTGGGTAGTGAGAAGTCGGTGGCTGTGTTGGAAACTTTTACTGCTGGCACAGCGCTATGTGTGTCCTGGTTTGTCGTGGCCAATCATGAAGCATGTGATATAGCTCACGCATCAAGACTGGCAATTGATGGGACGCCATAAATTTTGGCTAAAATATAATAGTTTAAACTAAAATGAATATAAGGTTTGAAGCCCTATGATTGCAAATGGGCGCCAACTTGCAACTCGCTTAAATTTATATCTGGTGTTAGGTTGAACCGTTGCGCTAACAGCAAACCGAAGTTCTGTAACGGAACAGAAACCGGGTCAAGGTCCTTGAATGAGACACTACTAAGCATGTCAGTTTCCTTCCACCCTTGCAGAACCAAATGAACCCGACAACCACTGAAGAGTCAAAATCAATTGTTCGCTGTTGGAGCTATACAAAATCTTTAATGCTGTTTGTATGAAGCTAAATGGTCATTTTTACCCTTCGCTGTATTCCGCTGCTGAATAAACGTACCTGTTGCATTCGTGGGTTT